CCCGCAAGAGGCAAACATAGCTCCGAAACCTAAGGAACATAATTGTTTGTTGCCTTCTCTGTTTTGTCAGCTTCCGATGGGCTTTTGAGGCCTCAAGGTGGCCCCAAGATGACCCACGAAAGCCCCACGAGGGCCCCAAGAACGCCGAAGAATGCTCGACGAGCACCCCAAGATGGCCCCGACACTACACTTTTGAGCCTCCGATGGGGGAGGCCGAATATATTGACCCCCCCCTCTTCTTGAGCCATGGGGCCGAGGCCTCCCAGACCCCTCCAGTGAGCCCCAAGAGGGTCCCAAGATTCCCAACACGAGCCCCAAGAAGGCCCCACGAGTGCCTCAAGAAGCCCGACCGGGACCCACTGACAGCCTCTAAGTTGGCTTCGTAGTCCTTCAAGAAATGCTCACAACAACATATCTCCAAAGCCCGACTTCTCATGCTCGTTGTCATCGTCCGTTCCTTCCCTGCTCCTTTCCTGCCTCCTTCCTCTTCTTCCTCTTCCTTCTCCTCTTCCTCCTCCTCCTCCTCTTCCTCCTCCTCGTGACGCACTCCTCCTCCACCTCTTCTTCCCCGTCGTTTCCCTGTTCCTCTTCTCGTGTTCCTTTTCCTCCTCCTCCTCCTCCTCCTCCCACCTCCTCCTCCTCCTTTTCCTCCTCCTCCATTTCCTCCTCCTCCTACCCCCAAGAAGGTCCCAGGTGGCCGAGCATGGCTCAAGACAGCCTCCGACAGAATTCCAAGAGGCCTCAAGACAACCTGAACATGGCCCAAGATAGTTGAGCATGGCTCAGAACAACCTCCGAGAGCCTCTAGCCGAGCATCGCTTCAGATAACCTCGAACTTTTCTGGTTGGGCGAAAGATGGGTTCAATTTTCGGTTTGCGATTGGCGTCGGGTCGGACTCCCCATTTGAATCTCCAACTCTCTCGGGATCTATTCATTGATAATCCTGGCTGCCAGTCGATCCCACTACCAACGTATCGACTGACCTGTCTTTCGCCCCAACTGCATGTTATCCCGTCTTACGACTTACTTACTGGCACCACTGCCCATACATCGATATCGGTATGTACTTGTGTATCGATCGCAACACAAACCGGTCAAACACTCTATTTGGATCGTGAATACGTCCTGGTAACAGGTCCTCGTATTTTCTAAGGCCTCCTGCTGTTCCCGTTTTTCCTCCAACATCGACCAACTTAGAAGGCACTCGACCCTGACATCCTTTAACGTGCTGTGCACCCGAGACTCCATTTGAACGAGGCCAACATTTATCCTAGATTACCGCGGCCTGGGTGACATTTCTCATCTATGATATATACACATACGTATGCCGAGGATAACATCGATTTAGGGGCTTGTATGCATACATCTCTCTCTCTCCACATATATATATATGTATGTATATATATGTATATGTATATATATATATATATGTATATATATATATATATATATATATCCGCGCAATTTCGCCTCACCCGCGCGTCGCGCACGACGCGAAACGAAACCGAAAATGATTTCCAGGCTGGAGGATTTCGACACAGGTCGATATTGCCGCCAAGCCTTCAATCGTCGATCCGTGTACTTTTCCACCGACATTTTTGTCCACCGATGTCATTATCGATCTATCTTGCCGCCAACTACGCGTTTGACCAACCCTTCGGGCCTATACTGGGCAAGTAAGTTGCAATCTGCGCCTGCCCGCTGGCACACGCTGGACAAACCCATGCCCGTCGGCACCTGCCCTCCCATTCCCCTTCCTTCCTTTTCCTTTGTGTTCCCCCTCTGGCCCCCCTCCTCATCTTGCGCGTCGTTCGAATGCCGATCGGTGCCTGATCGCGCACGGACACGCAACGCTCATCATTCGCATGCGCTGCGGTCAGAAGGATAAACGCACGGCCTGTCCTGACGACCGTCGTGCTCATACAGACATAGCGCGGTTGCCTGGCAACGTACGCGACAACAACGTCCTCATGTTTTCACGACGCTCACGGAAGCAGGGCACGCAAATCCGAGCAACAATCGATGTGACGACCAATCGTTCTGACGATGAATCAATATATGCCACGCGAAACCACGACCAACGTATCACATGGTCACACAATGTGTATACTGGCTATATTGCATTAGCCGAGGAACAGACGCAACGACGCACGTACCGCGGGACAGCCGTGGGGGAACCGCCGGGCAACTGATGGGACACCACAAAACCTTCGCACGGCAGGATCGCCTGCGCGACTTACTTTTGTCCTTGGCCACGACTGGATCGCCGTTGCGCAACTTTGCCAAACCCCGCGCGCGGCACGAACCGAAACCGAAAACGGTTTCCTGGTTGGGGTCACGCACGCCGCCTTCACCTCCAAAGTACACAGCCCGCGGCGACGCCCTAACTCACCCTTCAGTGTCATGGCCCATCCGCATGCTGGAATGCTCAACGCCGTAGGGACACAGACGGTACCTGTTCTGAAACCTGGTTTGGCCTTGGCTTTCGGAACTCAGTGGCGCTGGACGCGCTACCGCACACAAGTATAACGAACGCGCCGCGCAACGAGCGTCATTCTTAGATGGGCCACATTCCCAAGCGCGATCAGGCTGCCAGGCGCCACTTCGCTTCGCAAGGCTTTCAACTTTGAAATGGGGTGATGGGGGGCTGGAAACAACCGCTCAGCTTGGCCCGCGTGCCCATGCTGGATCCGTCTCAAGACGCGCAGAAGACAAACGGCAACCTGCGACCCTGAGCCCGCCCGACGACCAGGTGGTGGCACCCAGGGGAAGAGCGGACAATGAGGCCCCGCAGAAAACATGACTTGCGAACGGGCGAGGTCTAGCACGTTTGGGGAGATGCCTGAGGACCCCGAACAACTCGCGGACCGGAGGCCGCGCGACCAGGACTCCGGCAGCGCCTGCAACAATAAATCGGTTGGCGTTTAAGTTGTTGGGTTGGTCTTGACCGCCGCCGCCAGGGCAAGGGCATAGGCCCGGGCTCCTTCGTTGGCCAGGCGATCGGCCCATGCGCTGCCCATGGTAGGAGCAATCCGAACCTCGTGGAGCCTCCGCACGGGCCCTGCGAGCCCCGACCTCCTCAATCTACCAACTGCCTGCCTTAATGTTTTGGGCTCCGACTGCGGTTCAAAGCTCTGCCCAACAGGGCAACGCGGGGAACGCGCATACCTCTGAGGACGGCTTGGGCGCCGAAAGAAAAAAACATGACCAACCAACATATCGACATGCCAAGCTGTAACAACGAAGGCTGCGTGCTCTGCGTGCACTGCTTGCTTGCGGACGAACGGTGCAAGGCAGGGGCGCAAACAACCATCGGAGGAAACTGCCTTCTTCGTCTTCGCGGACACCTGCTCTCCCGCATACGCCAACCTTGGGGCGCAGGTATGGGCCGTCATTCTATATGCGGCTGTCGGGGTCAATGTCAATTCCTTCTCCATTAACTTTTAGCCGATCTGTATATGGCGAAACACTCATCTTCACGTGATATCTACACCAGGAGTTGGAATACCAGCTGAACCTGTTTAACATAGGTATGGCTTCTATTTTCTGGGGAATCATCGTGCTGCTCCTCAATCCTAGCCCTAGCCGCATCCGTCAACCCTATTGTCCTGCCCCCAACGCCCTGAAACTTAGCCGTAAACCTGGGACTAATCCCTGGCCCCGCAGCTTTAGCCTTCAGCCTGCTTCGTCCCCAATCCCTGTGAACGAAAAACATGCAATGGCGTCTGCTTTTTTTATATCGCCACAATGTGGGAACGCGTGCTTGCTGAACGCGCCATGCTGACACCAAAACGGGGTAACATGGAAAGTGCCCGCCCCAAGCCTGTTGCCCAAACGTCGTCCGTGGGGCCTGTCCGCCCCGATACTGACACATATGCTGAATAACATGTGACGCTCCCTTTCGGAATCCTGCGCCAATGTTATGCAACATACATGAAGCGCGTGAGGCTGCCATTCTTCGCCCCAAGCAGTATATACGAATCGTGTCGACGGCGCAATCACCTTGCGCAGTTGTATGCTTGACTGACTGTGTCTCATTGGGAAGAAAGACTTCGGATATCATGGCTGCGGCTGCGCCCTGTGGGCAATTGGCTGCTCTGCGCCATCATCCACCTTCGGCAAGAGAGAACAACGGAGCGCCATGCGCGACAACAGCAGCCCCCTTGCAGATAGGATGGCCGACAGGCCAAAACGAACGACGAGTGTCGATGTGGCCGATTCATATCATTAGCGTGCAAGTGGCATCGGGAGGCGAGGCCTTGGGGCCTTGGGGGAGAACGCATGGGGAAGGGAGAGGGGGGGAGAGGAAAGAAAGATCAGGTCCCCGCGAACCCAACCAAGCCGAGGGAGCCAGGGGCCCTGCCACGAGCTCAGGCCCGGAACGAAGCATCCCCAACAAACCAGGGCGCAGCGGAGTGGAAGGGTGGGGGGTCAGCAAGGACCAGAAGAGATTGGCGGATTCCCCGTCAGGGCTGACCTCCGTGATCTGCGCCCTGGAGCGGCAAACGCGGTGCCGGCGGGCACGGTGGGAGGCCTCCCAGAACCACCCCGACCTTGGGTTGAGCAGGGACCGACCGTCCCAGCATTCCTACAGGCTTACGACGACGTGTTCTCAGAGACAGAACGTGTTCCGAGAGCAACGTTCTTATAAGATCAGCCTGGTTGGTTAAAACCGTACTGTCCTAGCCAGAAACGTTCCAAAAACGTATCGCGCAAAGGACAACCTGTTCTTAGAATATTTTCTGGTGGCCCGAAAAGCAGGTCAGGACGCTTCGCCACTGCTTGATCAGGATCTCTGGCGGTCCTCCTACAGGCCTCCCCCACGCCTTCCCAGGCCTTGGCCTACCCAGTCTCTCTTAGGCCTACCCTGGACGCAAAGCCTCCTGTAGGGCTTCCTGGACCTTCCCCAGACCTACCCTAGGCTACCCCTGGGATGAAGGCCTTCCCTACCCTGGGCCTGCCTGGGACTATACCCCCAAGCCTTGGTGCCTCTGGCGGTCCTCCTTCTCCACCGCGGCCGCGGCGGCGGCGCCAACGGCCGCCGCGCTGCCGGGCGGCAACGACGCGGGGCAAGCAGCCGGAACCGCTGCGATTGGCGGCGAGCCCGCCGGCAGCGCGCCGCCAGCAGCCGGGGCGGCGGCGGCGGCGGGGGTCGAGCTCGCCAGTTCCGCGCCGGCGGCGGCAGCGGCGGGGGTCGGCCGGGGAGGCGCTCCACCCTTCCTGAGCGCCTTGATCCTGGCGTAGACCTCGGCCCTGAACTCGATCACGCGCTCCTTGGGCTCCCCGTTGGCGAGTCGCACGTACAGCGCCCGGGCCACGCGCATCGTGGCCTCCTCGGTGAGGCAGACCCCGAGGGTCGCCTGCAAGGTGTGCTGCCCGATCCTGAACTGGCTCCTGGCGGGGTGCTGATGCCTGAACGTCACCTTCTCCCACGCGGGGTGTCCAGCTGGAGCGTCCTCCGGCAGGGCCGCTTCGAGCGCCTCGAGCAACTGCGGCTCGAGCGCTTCCGGCGCGACTGCCGCCTCCATGCTCGACTCCTTAGCAGTGCCAGCGGACGCGGTCGAGGCGACAGGTATTCCCATGCTGTAGCGCCTGGGCTACGGGCCACGCGTCGGCCCCCGACCCACACGGCGGCTCCAGAAGATAGATTGCGGCGAAGAGGAGTTCAAATAGGAAAACGATTGAGGAAGGAGAGAGAAAGAGAGAGAGAGAGAGAAAGAACAACTATCATACATAAATCAAACAAATCAATGCACACGGCGAACTGCAAATACGCAATCACACCTAACTGCCGACTGCCACTTTCTTTTCCAACTTGCCGGAAAGATGGCACCGGCCCCTGCTCTTGTAGTCCAGACGGGGATGACCACGCGGGCATCTCTCGTGCCATATCTCTCGCTCGTCGTACCCTTCTTCCCCAGACGGGAAGCAATGGACACCCCCTTCATTATGCCACCTCACCCGCCAGCCCTTTCTGGCCACCCCACGGGCAGCGACGCCCCCAACGCTCCTCGGCCGAGCTCCGCCCGCGCCTGCGCCCTCCGCGCACTCTCTCCCTCCGCCTGGCTGCCGCTCCCCCTCCTGCTCTCCCTCCGCCCACGGGCTCCGCGCACCTTGCCCGGCCGCTCTCTCTCTCCTTCTGGGCCTCTCGCGCTTCGGCCGGGCGACCTTCCGTCGGGCGCGCCGGTGCGCGCGCACGCGCCCGCCGAGTATATAAGAAGGTGCACCTGCGAGAAGAGAGCCCTCTGCGTGGAACCCCATGTGAGTGGCACCTAGTGTGTGGATTCCACGTAATTATGTGCATCGGCATGCGCGTGAACCCCCGGGTGCGGTGTGGCGGTGTGTGTGTGTGTGTGTGCGTGCGTGCGTGCGTGCGTGCGTGCGTGTGTGTGTGTGTGTGTGTGTGTGTGTGTGTGTGTGCGTGCGTGCGTGCGTGCGTGCGTGCGTGCGTGTGTGTGTGTGTGTGTGTGTGTGTGTGTGTGCGGTGTGTGTGTGTAGGCGACGAGAAATTCTGACAATAGGTCGACAGACACGGGTGGAAGAGCAGATGCGACCGCTGCCCCGAATCCGCCCCGCTGCACCAGTGGAGGTGAGGACACAGGACCACTGGGCATGTTCATCTTCTGCCCCACTGATCCCAACCCGACGTCTCCCACGCAGGGCCTGCCTCCCTTCGATGTGCATTAGCCATTCGCGCCTTCCAGGCCATGCAGTGCAACGCCACGTGATGCTGCGAGCGGTGCTTGGTCGACTTCTGGAACCCGCGGCCGTCGGACGTGGTCCAGATTCTAAGCAGGGACGGCACCAAAGTATACCCAGACCTCCCGCTCAAACGGCAGAGGACCTCGGCACCGCCGCCATTCGCCCGGAAACGGCTACAGGGGAAGCCACCCACACTCGCACGAGGTACACATCCTCCATCTCGCAGACGCACAGGACCAGGAGAGGATGGACGAGGCGCTCGCAGAAGATCAAGACCCTCTTGGAGGGCGGAAGAAGACCCAAGCCAACGATCCAGCCCAGACCAGCGGCGGCCAGCCGCTTGGGAAAACGGAACGGGCGCAGATCGCCATGCCGTCGGCATGGCGAGAACAAGGCCGCGCCAAGCCCTTCGACCGCGATCGCACCGCGGGCCAAGGGGGAGCCCGCCCCCGCGCGCGCAGCCATCCCCCGCATCCAAGGGCGAGGTCGCGCGAAGACCGAGGGGGCAGGCCCCAGGACCGCGACCGCACCTCCTCCCGAGGAACCTCCTCCCGAGGATCCTACCGCAGAAACCAGCCGATCCACACCCAGGGTGAACAGAACGAAAGTCTGGAGGCGACAACCCCAACCGCAGGGAACATGGTCTACCCTCGCGCCCCAAGTCACCTGACGCATCATCTGCCAGCAGAAAGAGCAGGTGAGAACGTGGGATTGAACAAGGCAGCCGCCGACCAGAGGACACCGGCCGCACCTCACCGCCGGACCGAGGACGACGACGACGAAGCCACACGCCGGGACCTGGGGACGCGCGGAAGACATCAGACCGCACCGGGCCCAGCGCCCCAGCAGACAGGAGCCCCCGACCAAGGTGGAGCGCCTGCGACCCAACGCCTGGAGACACCATCGTCGTCTCCACCCCAAGCCCTTGCCGACTCCGGAAGGGGTCCTTCCCGACCTTCCCGAGGCGCTGCCCCCGCCCTGTCCCGCCCTCGCCGATCGGGAAGTGGCTACCCTGCGTCCCCTCGAGAAGGTCGATCCGGACCCGATGAAGGGGAACGAGGACTGCACCATCGCCCACACAGTGGTGCAACACGCCCGGGCGCTGCACGACGACGTGGAGACGGCCTGGCGACATTGGACAGAGGAGCGGCAGCAACAGCGACAGAGCCCCGACGGACCCCATGACGTCCTTCTGGATCCACGAGCATGGACAGAAAATAACTGCAAGGGCTTCCTAAGCAGCAACCACGGCCCAATGATCTCAGACGACGGAATACCCAAGGAATGCCCCTGGGACGGAAGGCGCGCCGCCCTGGTACACCTGGTCGTTTACCTCGTCAGGCAGAGAAGACGCACTCCCAATCGGAATGATAACTTGGCCGAGCAATGGCTCTCCTACCTGACGACCGACAGGCACGAGCCTGGGCAATAACCCAAACAGGTAGACTCAGCAGCACCTCGCGAGATTCCTTGCCATTCATGGGGTGCCTGTCAGCACCCGAGCTGGTCTACTACACGCCTGGCGGAGACAACCCAGACGCGGCCGACCCGAGGGGCACTGTAAAGGCAACCCCCCACAAGATCAAGGGCACCAGGCACTCGGGCTGAGCGCCCGAACCCAGCCCAGGCAGCGCGCGCCACAGCAGGGCACCGCCACCGCGGCCAAAGCCCCGCCCGAGTCAGAGGCCCCCAAAGGCACCCTGGCCCAAGCTCGTACAGCAGTGCGGCAGAGGGCGCACCTGCTGCGTGATTGGAAAAACAGCCCGCCAACTCTGCCGCCCCCGTGCCCCCCTCCCCTACCCAGGAGGCTAGTGCGACCGCACCGTCGCCCCTGGGGAGGCCCCTGCCGGAAGCGGCGAGGTAGAGGTTGACTGCTCACCGGACGCCGACGCCCCAGATCAAGATTCCCAGGCTCACCTCAACAAGGAGCCCCACGCGGCCGACCATGCCCAGGTAGCGGCCAGCAGAACGGGCCCAGAACACGCAGAGCGGACGGCCACCCAGCCCCCACAGCACAAGCAGGCTGCGGAGGCCAGCGGCACAGTTGGGGCGGACACAGGTGGACCCAACCCCAACGACCGCCGCACCAGCAGCACAACGACAGAACGGGCCGCAGCAACCGAACTCGGCGACGGACGAACACGTAAGTTCCCCAGACAGCCGAGCGAACGTAAAGTGGCCAACGCCACTACGCCTTGACTGAACACGCCAACCCTGGGCCAATGACCAAAGGTTGGGAGCCTCTCCCTAAACCGCCGGCCCGTCTCGCGCTGGCCCGGAGGCGCACGAATGGCACAAGGCTCCGCGGGCTGATCCAGGCTATGCCAGCGACGACGACCATAGCGACACGCTATACATCCGGCCCCGACGGATGATCACCTGGTATCAGACGTAGAATCACAAAACCAACACCCGCGAAATCTGGCCAGAGGTCGTTAACAGGCTAAAGTGGGACTGCAGCGCTTTCTTCCCCGAAGGATGGAACGCCCTCTGCGACGCCAGGGACAAGCGAGCACCAGGGAGTGGGGCCTACAATCCCAAGGGGTAGGTCGACTTCTGCGAAGTGTTCGTGAACGACCTGTACCACGCCCACTACCACATCCGCAATGTCTGCATAATCCAGGTGGACCAGGGGGCTGTCTGGGAGCGCAAGCTCCAGCGCAACGAGCAGCAGCGAGACAAAGGCCGGGGCAAATGCAAAAAGAACGGCCACGACCTGGTCGGGAAAGGCTAGAAACTCGCCGACCCCACCTGGCCCAACAACGATCAGTCCAGGCTACGCCGTCCCGACCCGCCAGGCCTGGGAGTCGCGGTCGCACCAGGCAGCAGCCAGCACCGCACGCCCGACCAGTCTCCCCAAGCTGCTCCACCAGAACACCAAGGTCACCAGCGGGGGACCCAACCTAACCGATATCTCTGCAGAGCTCAGACTTCCTTCCCCAGGACAATACGTGGCCTGCGTCCTAACTCTTCGCTGCCCGTGCTCACGCAAATTGCCACACCAATTTGCGCATGCCGGCCCGCCGCGTACTGTCCACCCAAACAGCGCGGGGCACTCAGCTGCTTCACTCCCAGCCCGCCTCAATGGCCACTGCACCGGCTTGACGATCCCAGCCGCCATGTACCGTCCACCCAGACGGCGCGCGGCGCATACTCCTACAGCTGAGACCCTTCACGCAGGACAACGCACCGGATAGGAGCGCGTGGCACTCTACGGCCACGGCCGCCATCCTATCAACATGTCACTGCACCGGCTCGGTGCCCCCAGTCCGGCCACGTACTGTCCACCCAGACAGCGCGTGGCCCCACGGGTTACGCCACAATCCCACCAGCCCTTTGGGCGTAGGTGGTCTAAGGCTATTTTTTCCCTCTTCCAAAGCCCCCTCTTCCCCTTCGGGAAGGGGTTTACCCCTCCCCCGACCCCTCCCCTGGACCTGGACGGGGGGGTCCGCGAGGTGGCAGAGGGCCTCTTTTCCTGTCAAGATGCATCCAAGATGGCCTCAGAGAGCCCAAGGTAGGCCCCAATATCAGTAACTATCGCCCAACATGGGTCAACAAAAACCAACATCATGCTTCCAAGAGGCCCCAAGAGGGCCACTAGACGGTTCCAGGTGCTCTCAGAGCTCCATCCTTCAAACACCGAAGGAACAACAATGAGTTGTGCCTTCTCGCTTTTTCGCTTCTGATGCGCTTTTGAAGCCTCGCCATGGCCCCAAGACGGCCCAAGACAGCTCCAATGGGGGGCCCGAGAGACTCCCAAGACGGCCCCAAGAGCACCTCAATATTGCCCCAAAAGCGCCCCCAAAAGGCCCCCAACAACGATTTTGATGGCCTCGGAAGGGGGGGGAATCGAGAACCCCCCCTCCTTTGATCGATGGCCCCCAAGACGGCCCCAAGAGGCGCTCCATAGCTCCCAGGAGGGCCCCAAGAGAACGCCAAGGGAACCCCAAAAGAACCCCAAAAGGGCACATGAGGACGCGAAAACGCCCCAAAAGAGCCCCAAGAGGACCCCAAGACCCCCAAAGAGCCCTAAGAGGGCTCCAGTCCTCCTCCTCCTCCTCCTCCCCCTCCTCCTCCTCCTCCTCCCCCTCCTCCTCGTCACCTTCCTCCCG